TGTATTGGCTAAGTCATGGCCTGTTTAACGGCTTTGAATTTTGGTCTATGCAGTCATCAGCATACCGCCTGGCTGAAAATCCTGAAACACTCGTTTCACACAGAAACAAACCTTCTAGCAAGAATGACATGAAGCATAGGCTCTTCTCTTCATCAACTGTTTCCATTTACTATACTGAAATAGTAGCTGTCACAGGGAGATGGATCTCCAAACAATAACTTGAGCAGAAAAGGGTACTACCAACTCAAATGTAATCACTTTGAAAATTGCTAAAGAAATTTCAGGTACAATACAGCTCTGAGCCAAAGAGACAATTTTGTGGCTTTGCTACTGCTTTAAGCTGTTTTTTAAATCTTTTCTGTCTCCTGCATGAAAGAGATGTTAAATCAAGAAGAAAAGCAGAGCTTTACAGACACTGGGCTCCTCAAAATTGCCTGTTAATTCACGTTGGAGGGATGCCATCTGTAAGACTAACAGGCAAAAACATCAGACAAAAGTGATTTTCAAGCTGAGGAAACTACTTCAGAAGAAAATTCTCAAAGGCATCCTCAGTAGCAACAACCTGTTCCTGGCAGTCTAACAAATGGTTTCAAAAGGTTTCCTTGACCATTTACTATCTTGCCTGCATGAGAGTCACAGATACCCCAGAAAGGAAAAAGAGCCTCGGGGCAGTGTGTGTGTGTGTGTGGGGGGGAAACGTATACATGTTACTCCATCTTTGATAACAAGAGGATTTTGTTTGTGTACAGGAGAAAAACAAGAAAAAAAAAAAAAACACGAGTAAATTCCTTTGGCTTGCTGCTCTTTCACAGAAAGATTTGCATTGCTTTAAGACATAATACGGAGCACTCGGCCATATTTAGTCCGTGCACGTGGAGAGTCAAACCTCTGTCTGATGTAAGTAAACAGGGCTGTGCTGACCTCAGTGGGGCTACAATGAAGTACACCACTTAAACATCTTACTCATAAAGAAACCAGGTGCAGCAGCTGTTTCACTTGTTCAGTATCCAAGATTCAATGGAGTTAATCTCTGCAGCAGCATATAGAGATGCCTCCTGTCTTGTACCATCTGGCTGGTTCCAAAGTAAAAACCCTATTCTTTGGGAACTTTCTTCACTGGTCGTAAGCAACAGGATAATCACCATGAAAAGCAGCATAGAAAAAGGTCTCTAGTACAGAGTTTAAGCAGCAGCTGGTGGCAAAAGCCCCTTTCTGCTCAACAAAAAAAATATAGTGTTGTAAAAATGTTAATGTTGTTCTCAGTGCATGAAGGATGAAAAAAGCTAGAGGTTTTTTTTTTTTTTTGTATTTTGGGGGGGGGGGGGGGGGGGGGGTTTTTCTTT